TATGGAATATGAATAAAGTTTATTAATTATGATTAATACTTTATATTAGGAAACAATTAATTGATTAAAAATTGAATGGTTGAGATGAAGGTTGTATAGGGTGTAGGAATGACAAAGGGTGTAGAATAACATCCCTCTATATATATATATATATAGAGAGAGAGAGAGAGAGAGAGAGAGAGAGAGAGAGAGAGAGTATCAATCAAATGAAACCACCATCATTTGTACAAACCGTACAAACCACCCTCATACGCCGATTTCATTGTTTAATCTTGTGAAATTGTTTTATATAATACTTTTTTTTGATTAATTTGTTTCATATATGGTTATAAAATTGTTTCATATAATAATTAATGAAATTTTAATGAAACTATTTCATGTATTTCTCTAAAATTAAAATAACGAAGATGATAACATCCATGATTAACACCCTCCACAATAAAAATGGTTAATCAACCTCTCATAATTACAAAAACATGAACAAAATAAAAAATTATGATTGGTTGAATGAGGTTTACACGGCTTGTACAAATTGTATGGTTTTTATTTGAACGTTCATCTCTCTCTCTATATATATGTATATAGACATCGATTGTTTGTAATAACTGTGAGATCCAATATCAACAACAGATTATTAATAATCAATGATTATTATTAAACATATTAATTTTCAAATAATTTAAATTTATTGATACCTTGTACTTCTACCGGATGTTCTTGGTATACTGTTTTTTTAAAAATAAAACGCAAGCAGAATGATCAAAATGGCCCTCACGTGCTCAGGGGCACAAAAGTTAAGGCTGGGGACAAAAACCGTAATGAAATGCAAACGAATAGTTACTGACGAAATTATTGAGTGATGGAGATGAAGGTTTTGATTTTCATTTCGTTACGATTTTTGTAATCTCGCTCCATTTAAAATTTAAAGATGCTTTCTTTGATTCAAACCGTACTTAAATTACAATCAAACAAGAGGAAACGTATTACCACTAATTAAGTAAACAATTAATGTGTCATAAATGACTAAGCAATTATAGTTAACTATTGCTAAAATCAACAACATATTTAATTAGAATTGATTTTATATAATTATATATAGCGTACATATCGATCAAGTCTGTAGATCAATCAGCCATGGCTCCTCGTTCATTTTTCCTGTGTACCCTCCTAATCATCTCCTTATCTTTCCATGGCATATCCGCCGTGGAGTACCATGTTATCAACGATGCCACAACCACTCCCGGCGGCATCCGTTTCGACAACGAAATAGGAATTCCATTCACAAAGAAAATAATGCGTAGCATCAACGACTTCATATGGTCCGTGGTCCTCCAGCAAAACGATCCCTC